CGATCTTCTGACCTTGTGATCTGCCCACCTCGGCTTCCCAAAGTGCTGGGATTCCGGGCGTGAGCCACTGCGCCCAGCCTAGATTTTTTTTTTTAAGAATTACTTTTATTGGGCTGGGCGCGGTGGCTCAAGCCTGTAATCCCAGCACTTTGGGAGGCCGAGGCGGGTGGATCACGAGGTCAAGAGATCAAGACCATCCTAGTCAACATGGTGAAACCCCGTCTCTATAAAACTACAAAAAAATTAGCTGGGCATGGTGGCGCGTGCCTGTAATCCCAGCTACTCAGGAGGCTGAGGCAGGAGAATTGCCTGAACCCAGGAGGCGGAGGTTGCGGTGAGCCGAGATCGCGCCACTGCACTCCAGCCTGGGTAACAAGAGCGAAACACCGTCTCAAAAAAAAAAAAAAAGAATTACTTTTATTGAAGTGAGTTTTAAAAACAGCACCAGCAACACAACCCCAGGTGACTCTCAAATCCAAAACTGCCAATTTCAGAAGTCAGCCCTTAACCATTAGACCACCAGAGATTCACAATGCAGGTAACTGATCACATACCTCTTAGATGAAGACGCCACAGGCTGATCAATGACGTCGTAAGCGGAAGCCTCCGGGGTGCAAAGCCTGATTGGACAGAGGCTGCTACCCAGCTTCGGATCGCGAGAGCCGCGGTATGGAGGGATCGGGAGGCATTTTGGGGTCTAAAACAAGAAAAAAGACGGAAATTATAGTTGCATGGATTAAAACGATCCGACCACGAAGGGACTCGAACCCTCAATCTTCTGATCCGAAGTCAGACGCCTTATCCATTAGGCCACGCGGTCTCCTACTGTGCATACCTCCCTGGGAGACTAATTTGATGATTGTTAAACGCTCCCGCATGGCGCGGCCACAGCACTCCTAACCCTGGCCGCCTACAGGGAAGCGCTGGCTCTCTTCTCTGGCCCCAGCTGCTCAAGCAGCCACCCCCGAGCGGCGCAGCACCCGTCCCAGTCTCTAAGCCTCGCTGGGCACTGTGGCTGCGTGGCCTAACGGATAAGGCGTCTGATTTCAGATCAGAAGATTGAGGATTCCAGTCCCCTCGCGGTGGCGCTCCTTTTGAGCGAGCAGCCCGTGCCCCAACCCCAGCATAGTTTGCAGGTTTGTTCTCCCTCTGTCCTCGTCCCTGCGTATTCCTCACAGCTGCTCTCCACCCGGCTGGGCGCTTGCCGAGCACTTCCTCTCAGCTACGGCACACTGCAGGCTCCTGGTCCCTGCGCTTCACCATCGCGTGGAGCTCTTTAGTAGCTTGGTGGGGATGCCGCGCCCGGCGAGCAGCTCATCCGGTCGTCCGGATGGCTTCTCGGGTTTGTCCCGGTGACCCACGGTAGGGCCGTGTTTGGGCACGTGCTATTGAACACTTATCATGGAGCACGTGGATTTGACGTCTTACCGCGCCCCAGTGGCCTAATGGATAAGGCACTGGCCTCCTAAGCCAGGGATTGTGGGTTCGAGTCCCACCTGGGGTGTCGAGGGGGCTGTGCTCCCGAAGTCACTTTTGGTGCGGGGAACCAGCGACCTCCACCACCATCCGCCGGCTTCCTGTTTGCATCTGCCCTGTCTACGCCCCACGCCTTCTCCTGCAGGACCCTCTATTTGCAGTCGCCGTAGTCAGTCATTTTCCCCTGGTTCTCCGGGGCTGCCCCGCCAGGTGGAGTTGGGGTATCCTGGGAACGCTTTGGCAACTTTATTCTCCCGAGTTCCCCCAGATTCAAAATTGTGGCGCCCTGCCCTGACGAAAGCAGTTCGTTCAAGGGCTTGGCGTGACCGGCGCTTACCGTCTTTAGGTGCTTAGAGGAGGTGGTTCCTCCTCGACACGTTGCACAGGAGTTGAACCAGAGACCAAGGTCAATTCCAGCGTTCCTGAGAAGGAAAGAAAAAGGAAATAAAAGATCCTGTAAAATGTTGTCATTTTTTGGCCGGGCGCAGTGGCTCACGCCTGTAATTCCCAACACTTTGGGAGGCTGAGGTGGGCGGATCACCTGAGGTCAGGAGTTTGAGACCAGCCTGGCCAATATGGTGAAACCTCGTCTCTACGAAAAATACAAAAATTAGCCGGACAGGGTGGCGTGCGCCTGTAATCCCAGCTACCCCGGAGGCTGAGGCAGAAGAATCGCTTGAACTCGGGAGGCGGAGGTTGCAGTGATTCGAGATATGCTCGCTGCACTCCAGCCTAGGCAACAGAGCGAGACTCTGTCTCAAAAGAAAGTATCGGTTAGCTTTACCCCAGGTGGGACTCGAACCCACAATCCCTGGCTTAGGAGGCCAGTGCCTTATCCATTAGGCCACTGGGGCTTGTGGCACGTGATTGCAACATCCCTTACTTTCATAAGCGGGTGGCCCCTTCTCCTAGACAAGGCCTCAGAGAGGCGCGCTCCATCGAGTGGGCTCCGTCCCTGCAGCGCGCACGTTTGGTGAGCGGGCTGGAGGATATGGCAGTGCAGTGCGCGGGGACCTGCCCCCCACCGTCCCCAGCCCCCTCTCGCTTGCCTCCCCCACCCCCACACTGGGACACTCCATGGAGTCTGGAGGGTCCCCTTCGGAGGTTGCCTGCACACCCGGACCATGGTGTATGAAGACTGAAGTTTGGAGGAGTTTCCTTCCTACTGCCCTGAGCCTTTCTGTCCACCTCTACAGAACTGATAAAAATTCCAGGAATTTTAGGAAAAAGTAGCATAGGAAGTGAAGGAGAACAGAGAAGTATTAATCATGAATATTGAAACACAAACCCTGAAAATCTTGCTTATCATGAGGGAAAGTACAACGGGGGAGCAAGTCCTTCCAGTTATAATAGAAATACATAGATAGAAAGGAAAATCAGCCAAGTATCTATTTCACCTTAATTCTAATAAAGAATAAGCACATTTAAAAACGTTGCACACATTTAAAATCCATTATTAAAGGCTACAGGCCGGGTGCTGTGGCTCACGCCTGTACTCCCAGCACTTTGGAAAGGAAAGCTGAGGTGGGCGGATTGCTTGAGCCCAGGAGTTCAAAACCAGCCTGGCAACATAGCGAGACACTGTCTCATTAAAAAATAATAATAAAAAATAAAAAAAGTCTTACACACACCGAAGGATTTAACAGTTCAGCTAAGGGCGTCTGTCCCCACTGTGCTTGTCTTGGGACCTTGCCCATCTGCTCCAGCATCGCAGGGCAAAGGAAACGTGGGGACATTCTTTTTTGTTTCTCTCCAAAATGTATAGTCTGCAGAAACCTGTCTCCTCCTCCCCTTAATAGCAGCAAGAAGGATTTAACCCACCTGGCTCCAGTTTACTGCCTTGAGGATACCCCCGTTTAAGTTAACTAACTTGTCTATTGCTGGGACCCAGCACTCTGGTCCATGGTCAACCTGCAGGGATGCCTTCTCTGCTTTCCCACCACCACCCTCTAGCCAGGCGTCCGTCCCCCCCACCCCTACCCCCACTCAGCTTTGCCTCGCTCAGCTGCTCCTGTTCATCCCCAGGAGTCCACTTGTCTCCCTGGGTCTTGGATCTTCCGGCTCCAGCCTCACTCCCGGCTCCATAACTCCATTCCGTCTCCTGGGTATCACCACTGGGCATTCCTCCTCACAGGCAAAACCACGCTGATCCAGCTGTCCTCCCAAGGCCACTCCCCTTCATGATGTTCCTGTGTGAGTGCACAGCATCACCCATGTCACGCCCCTCACTCCCACACCACCCAGGCCAATTTTCTGTCCTCATAATCCTCCAGCATCCGGTGTTTCCTCCCCACCCCTGCTGCTGCTGCCGTAGTTACAGAGCGTGTCCCTGACTGCTCACATGGGGTCAGTTGCCATCCATGCACACCTTCCTACAGCTTCTCTTCATTCTGCCATGGGCAGAACAGCCTTCCTGCCTCAGCCTCTGTAGGGAAAAGACTACATGTCTTAGCTGTCACTTTTAAGTCCTTTCTAGACCTGGATCCCAGTCAATTGGCAGACTCATCTTTCACAGCTCCTTGTCCTCTGGGTCCCAGCCAAACTGGGCTAGAAATCGTGGCAGACATTCCCAGGGTACCAGCTCAGTGCAACTAACCATGTAGTTATTCACTGAAATCCCACAATAACCCTATGAGGTAGGTGCTAATAACATAACCCCTAGTTTAGGCTGAGCTCAGTGGCTCATGCCTGTAATCCCAGCACTTTGGGAGGCTAAGGCAGGCTGATCACTTGAGGTCAGGAGTTTGAGACCAGCCTGGCCAACATGGCAAAACCCCATCTCTACTAAAAATACAAAAATTAGCCGGGTGTGGTGGTGTGAGATCCCAGCTACTCAGGAGGCTGAGGCAGAATTGCTTGAACCCAGGAGGCGAAGGTTGCAGTGAGCTGAGATTGTGCCATTGCACTCCAGCCTGGGTGACGTAGTGAGAGTATGTCTCAGGAAAAAAAAAAAATAACCCCTAGTTTATAGGTGGGGAAACAAGGTTCAGAGAGATTAGGTAGCAGCTGGGAAGGTGGACGGGTGAGCACTGACCCATGCAGTCCACTTCAGGGCGCATTCTCTCAATCACAAGTTTCCTGTCCAGCCACAGGCAGGCCTTGGAGTTGCCATTTTCCTAGCCTTTGCCGTTGGCCACCACTGGAGCCTCCAAGTGACATGCTCTTACCCTGCCAGTTCCTCCCCTCCCTTCAGGCCCATCTCAAGCACATCCTCTCCCACCCTCCAGTTGAACTAGTCATTCCTCTGCCTCCTGCAATCTACTGAGACCTTTCTTTTGTCATTCATCATGCTTCAGGTCTTGCTACTGGAACAGGAATCCACTTTTCCTCTCAGCTTTTACTATCACCCGATCGAATGTCAATTCTCTGGAAGAAAGCACTTTTACTTTGTTCTCTTCTGAGTCCTCCCCACCTCATGCTGTGAGTGCCTGGTATTCACTTAGCGCTTACTGAATTACGGAATGAACTGGTAAATGTACATCCTGCATATGAGCCTCGGCCCCCTCCCAGGCTCTGAGTCCCTTGAGGACAGGGACCACGTCTTACACATTTTTAATTTACATTAAAGGAGCCATGCTGATCTTCTCTGTATCATTCTAATTTTAGTATATGTGCTGCGGAAGTGAGCAAATGTTTGTATTTTGTAAGTCATTTTTAAATGATTTTTCCCCTTGTTTAGGCTCATGTGCTCACATAAACTAGATCGAAAGCATATAGAACAGTTTAAGAAATTCATACATGCTAGAGCAATCTACTACTACAATGCTAGCCTGAGGGGATTGTAAAAATCTCCTTCCAGTTCCAACTTATTCTTCCTGCCTCTAAAACCCACTGCCTAACAGCACCTGGCACACAGTACTTCTCATTCAAGACACGCGGTGGTTTTGTTACCCATGTCTCTTAAAACCTAAATGCCTTGGCCTGGCGCAGTGGCTCACACCTGTGTTCCCAGCACTTTGGGAGGCTGAGGTGGGCAGATCACCTAAGGTCAGGAGTTCAAGACCAGTCTGGCCAACATGGTGAAACCCTGTCTCTACAAAATACAAAAATTAGCCGGGTGCGGTGGCAGGCACCTGTAAGCCCAGCTACTCAGGAGGCTGAGATGGGAGAATTGCTTGAACCCAAGAGGTGGAGGTTGCAACGAGCCGAGATAGCAATATTACATGCCAGCCTGGGGCACAGAGCGAGACTCTGTTCAAAAACAAAAAACCTAAACTCCTTAACTTGAATTCAAGCCTCTCCACATCAAGCCGGCCTCTCTCCAGGCTCGCTTCCCAGAATCGCCCTGGACGAATCCCCCATTCAGCGCCTCTACTTCCTTGCCACCTCCTCCACCCCTGCCTCTTCTCTGTCTCCTGTGTTCATAGCGTCCCCTTC